TTCTCCTCGAGGATTTTGATAGCTTCCTGTCTTACATTTAGGTCTTTCATCCATTTTGAGTTTATTTTTGTGTGTGGTGTAAGAAAGTGGTCCAGGTTCATTCTTCTACATGTCTCTGTCCAGTTTTCCCAGCACCACTTGCTGAAGAGACTGTCTTTATTCCATTGGATATTCTTTCCTGCTTTGTCAAAGATTAGTTGGCCATATGTTTGTGGGTCCATTTCTGGGTTCTCTATTCTGTTCCACTGATCTGAGTGTCTGTTCTTGTGCCTGTACCATACTGTCTGATGGTTACAGCTTTGTAGCATAGCTTGAAGTCTGGGATTGTGATGCCTTCTGCTTTGGTTTTTGGGGTCTTTTCTGGTTCCATACAAGTTTTAGGATTATTTGTTCTAGCTCTGTGAAGAATGCTGGTGTTATTTTGATAGGGTGTCATCTGTTTTTCTTAAGTTTCCCGGAACAAATGGCTAATGGGCTCATTATTATCTGAGAGGTGGCTTTCAAGGAACATTGTCACCCTCTGAGTTAAACCCCAGATTAAAGTCAAGTTAGAATTTTTTTTCCTGAAAGGGAAATTATTTTGAGGCTTTTGCTCAATATTTTAAATTAAAAACTCTGCAACTTTGCATGTTTTTACAACTTTACAGTGCTCACCACATGGAAATTCTGCATCAGTTTACTAACAGCCAACTTTGTGATTTGAGAACGTGTAAGGTTTCAGTATTGCCTCAAGTGCACAAGGCATTCATTCTGAAGAGACTCAGTAAGAACCACACCCAATTATTTGTTTTATTTATTCAATAATCCACTCGCTGGATGTATACAAAGAAAGTGAATCAGGGAATCAAATAGTGTCCTTGTGTAGAGGATTAGTTTAATCAAATTAGTCAAAATACAAGAAATGTTATTTCCCAATCCTTCCGTTACCTGGACCCCCCAAAATACCAGCTCCCTAGCCCACTCATCCCTGCACCCTAAAAAGAAGAAAAAAAGATGAGAGTGGCTGGATGCTTTTTTCTCGTTCTTTACTTCATGTTTCAAAATCTTGATTTGAACAAATAAATATCTTCTTTCTGCCCAATAGATTAGAAGAACGAAATAATCTGATAGAATTAAAGCAACAGTTTTAGTAATCCTTGAAATTTGGAGAAGAGAGACCTAGTTTTATTTAAGTGAATAGTGCATATGGTAGAGGAGAAGAGGGTGCATTGATGTTCAAGCTTAGCCCTCTTGCTGTCACCGTCAGCTCCCTGCTGATGCTCCCTGCACACATTCCCGAGTGCAAGAGCATTACTGAGTGCAACCGTTGGTGGTATTGCCTTGCGGAAACCTTCCTTAAGTATCTTCAGGGGCCTAGGTGGTATACATACATTTTTAATTTATCGCCAAAAGGTTTTAAGGTATTTGTAGGTATTATTAGGTGATGAAATCTCGGTTTTATAGATGAGAAAAGTAAGGCCCAAGCCCTTTTTAATATATCATATAAAAGTATTTTTAAATGATAATGCTGGACAGTGTTGTTTATTTTAGAAGGAAGTATTCCATACATTTTGTTATAAGTTGAATATATTCTACACTTCTGCAGAATATACAGCAGTTTATTATACAACAGGTTTTTTTTCCTGTTTTTAAAAATGTTGTCATTCTATCTTCTCTGCCCATTTATATCTTAAAGTAATCACATTTTTTTCTATCTTGGTATATTTTAATTTTATAAAACTATATGAAGGGTTATACCTTGCTATCCTTCTGCCAGCACGCTGTCATGTCCCATGAGAAATTTCCTTCCATAACTATGACTTATATTAAAACACCTACAGAAATTAAGAGGGATCTCATTCATTCATTCAGCCAGCATTTACGGGGTGCCTGCAAGTACCAGGCAATGAGAATCATTTTAGAAAGGTTGTAGATGTTCTTTTCTTTCTACTAAAACATGAACATTTACTTGATGGTTGGCACTTAAAAAGAAAACCAAACCTCACAAATGGAACCTAACATTTCCTTCATTAAACTGCAGTAATGACAACCGCAAGAGAGGATCAGATAATCTGTTTTACGGTAAAAAAAAAAAAAAAAAAAAAAAAAAAAAAAAAAAAAAAAAAACACACACACACACAAAAAAACAAAAACTTTCCAAAGGAGATGTTTCATTGTGGACTTTAAAATAAGGATAGGATACATTTTGAACTGGTGTTTTGAAGGAGAATGAAAATTATTCCCAGCAAAGTGAACATCATTAGCGAAGCAAAAAGAAGCTGCTGGTCATTTTTAGAGGCAGTTGGATAATAGAGTATTGATGTTAAGGTATATTGTATCTAGAGAGCTTGGGAGGACGTGTGGGTGTGTGTTGAGGAAGTGATCCATTGAACCATGCTTCCCCTTCTTTTGTAGGCAATAGGAAACTATGGTCAGAGAACATTCTGTGGTATTAATGCCATAGAAACCATTCAGTTATCTTTACATAATGTGCAGAACTGATCAGTGGAGGTTTATTGTGCAATTCTCAGGATTTCTAGTACAAGCCAGGCATCCCTTCCAGAGGGGGCTCATTACATGCTAATTGAATTGAGTCGATACTTGAATGTTTGATACAAATCCTTCTAAATAACTTCCTTTAGCTCTATTAATAGAACAGCTAAGTAAGTGCTTTCTGGGCCTCAGAAATAAATTGTTGACTTAATGTAGACATGTTTATATCTTTGCTTAGAAACACAAAGCGAATAACCATACATATGAATCTTTTCTTGTCTATTTTGTGGGTATCTTTTTATTGAGCCTGTTCTTTGTGCTAGTCACTAAGCTAGGACTTTCCATTTTTCATCTTTGTCCCTCCAGTCATCTCCATAAGGCATTATTGACAATTTACATATCATCAGTGTGACACTCGGTGGGGTTAAGTAGATTGCCCAAGATTATGCAGCTAACAAAGAACAAAGCCCATATTTCAACCCAGCTCTGTCTGGGTGTCTTGCTGTATGAAAGTGGCTCTCACCTCCCTCTTTGGAGGCAGAGAGTGATTCATTTTTACACTTCTTTGGGAAAAGGCTTGTCTTTTAGGATCTCAGATTAGAGAGCTCTCCTTCACTTCTCTGTGACCCTTCCTCTGTCTCCACTTGCCACTGACTTGGTTAAGTCCTCTTCACCTCTCTGCTGTACTATTGCAGTAGCCTCTTACCTGCCCACTGATTCAGTTTTGCACATTCCCAGTCTGTCCACTACTCTGCTCCTAGTGATTTCTTGCTGATACGAAAATATGGTCCCATTGTGCTCCCCATTACCTCTAAGATACAGTCTATACTGTGAAGTATGCCACACAAAGATTTTATGATCTGAGCCTGGTGGCCACTGGCAGCAATATCTCCTCTCATACCTTCCCAGCCCAGGTTCTGAAATCCTAAAGGATTTGCTGGTCTGTCTGTGTGTCTTTTCTGTCTTGATATCTTTGTCTCTGCTGTTGTCTTGGACTAAAATCCTTTTCCACACCTTGACCACCTGGTGAACCCTCCTCACCCTTCAATAGCTGTCTTTTCCTCTGAAGGATTTTCAGATGCCATCCTTCCATACTTCATCCCCCCCAGTGGGGTTTGAAAGAAGGGGCATCTCTGAACTACTTTTGCATCCTTTAATATTAGGATGCCACTTATTTCATGCCTGTGTGTTTACTGCAATAACAACTTTGCTACTCCTCTAAGTTGTTCAACATCTGTGGCTGATTGAATATAAAAAAAGAGATTCATGACCTGGGAATATCTCGATTAAGAGAAATAAAAGGATCAGGTTTGTTTTCAGATAAGACCCTGATTTTCCTGGCCAAGCTATAAAAAAAATTAACCATCCGATTTCTATATATGCATAAAAAAGGCATCAGCGCTTTGTTCTGCTGGGAGAGAACATCAACTCACTGACCTTCCTGGCATTTTCAGTACCAGCCTAGGAGGGAAGCTCTTCCCTTTTCAGATGAAAAGGCTTAAGGATCAAAGACGTTCCCTCTATGAGATTGTTCCCCCTCCCTTACCAAGTGAGCCTGTTAGTGTACTTTAATTGAAATGAGAACAGTACATACTGGTCTCAGAGGCTCATCTCCAAGGTCACTGAGTAATGAGCATTTGCAGGAGTGAGTAGGACTCTGACTTGGTAAGAATGAAGCAGGAGATTCTTGTTCCTCTTTTCATGTTGCATAAGGAAGAGTCAGGATGATTTGCAATGAAATTTGTTAAAAATGCATATTGACCTCTGCATGTTTTTTGGAAATATTTCATTGGCTTGCTATATTTTAATAAAGTAGCAAAAATATTTTGCTATAAGATATTCGTTATGCACCTTTTAAAAATAATTGTATATTATTTTATTCTGCACTTGTAACGTGCAACAAGTTATCTTGGGTTTGTATATAACTTGGACTAAATGGCCTTTGCAATAGTGCGATATTTCAGGGAAGGCTTACAAAACTTAGGTGAAAGAAGTATATCCATGCAAGGGAAATTATTAAAAAAAAAAAAAAATTCCTCCTGGTCTGTGATCACTTTGAAAAATAAGATTAAAATGAACCAGTCTTCCTCCTCCTGCTCCTCTTCTCCTTCTGTACTGATAATAGGGATTCATTTAATCATAATATATGTAATTTTTGCTACCTCATTGTCATACAGAGTTTGTTAAATAACTCTATTTCTATTCCTAGAAGGCAATATTAATAAAACACAGATTTTAATATCTTATAAGATCCTTCTACTAAAATTAGCTGTTTTTTGCAAAAATCACAGTTGGCAATACATTTCTGGAGAACACAGTTATTCTTATCTCTTTTATAATTGCTAATTATTCAAAGTATATCCCTTACCAGAATCCATTTCTTTCTTTTTGGCTAGAATGAGAGCTTAGAGATAGAAAATTACAGGCTTATCACCTGCAACAAAGAACTTAATAATAGAAATTTAGGCACTATGAATAAATTGACTGGAAGTTAAAGGTGAGACCAATGAAAACCTAAACCCTAATGTTATATCGGGTCATCTAGAATCTAGTCATTGAAATGAATATGTATTAAGGGTCCTTTAGTCCATTCATTACCCAATGCGAGAAATGGGAATCATTTTTTTTTTCAAGTCATCTCTATGCTCAGTGTGGGGCTCGAGTGCACAACCCTGAGATCAGGAATTGCGTGCTCTACCTAACGGGGCAGCCAAAGGCCCCAAGAATAATTTTTAAAATACAAATTACTAAAACCCATTCTGAGATTCTAGCTAATAAATTTGGAATGTGGCCCAAGAATATGTCATTCTGATATGCCGCTCGGTTTACTAGAAAACTGGTAGTCTAGTCTAACACTCTAGCTTTGGGACAAAACCGCTTGTCAATATTTTGATAAAGGAGGAGCTCATTTTTAGCAGTCTTAGCGATAGAGCTGGATCTTACAGCAGATCTTTCTGTTTCCTTCAAAGCTCTCTTAGAAGTTTATACATTCAGTGAGCCAGAATCTCCTTCCCTAGAATTTCCACTCATTAGTTCTGGTTTTGCCTTCATATAGTCACAAAAAATGATACCTAGCTATTAAATTTACATTTGTTTAGTTACTAGAGAAAATGTATTCCTATGTGTATTAGATTCTAATATTTTTTAGCTTGGGTTAATTTTTCTACTAGCAATTGAATTTTTAATGATATTTAAGAACTCTATATATTAAGGATATTAACCCCTTGTCTCATATTGTCATATGTATTTTCCCAATTTGTAATTGGTCATTTATTGATGTTGTATGTACATGTTGGGAGAATGTATAACTGTTTAATCCTGAATCTCTAGTGAAAAGTTCCTTCCTAGCTTTGTACCATACAAAAATTTGGCAGGCATGACATTTCTATATAATACCCTACATTAAAATTTTTAAAGTTATACTAAAACTCCCAAACCAGGTACTTTTATAGAAATAATACTGGATACCAAGTTATAAAGGACGTTGACTGTTGGAAGAAAATTCCACTCCCTTTGTTCAGATTAATCCTCTTCTGGTTTTTATTGTAAGTTATACTTTTCCTTTGAGTGCCCTGTGTGGTCCTTTTTTAAAAGAGGAAATGGCATCATGCTTCACATTTTTAAGCCTCTGGCAGGCAGGGACTATTAATTTGTTTGCTTATTTAAAGCAGGAAGCTTTTTTTTTCTCTCTCTCTCTCTTTTCTTTTTAACTTTCTTTAGTAGCTTAGAAACCACAACTCCACCTTAGACCTGCCTCTAAATTGTTTTCAACAACCGTTGGAATTTTATTCTGTCACTCCCCCATCCAGAGCCCCTCAAGATGAAGTGGGAGGAATGAAGTCATTGTGTTGCAAAATCTGTGGCCCAGGGACACTGCTACTGCTCCTGACTAGTCTAGTTTGACCAGGAAAAGACCTTCTCCTGAGCCCGAATGCTAGCCCTCAGAAAACACTAGACCCAGTGTCACCCCATCTGACTGTAGCTCTGTGTAGGCTGCAGTGGAATTTTGGTTTCAGAAATGGTTGTTTCAGAAACTGATTAAGTAAAACTGATTAAGGTCAAAAGGCTGCATTTGGCCTAGAGTGTTCTTAATGGTGGTCCAAATAGAACTATGGTTGAATAATTATCAACCTTTACCTCTACAATTATTTCAGTCATTAAATCAGGGGAGATGATATCACCACATAATTCAGCCAAAAAAACCAAAAGCACCTTTCCTTGTTTCATATGGTAGACTGTCCTGTATACCTATGCTTCCTCTCTCTCGTATGCAGACAAAAGAGTACATTTTCAAAGTGAGAATTACTGACTGGGCAATGGCGGAGTGAGTAGGGAAGAAAACGAAGATTCCCATCTCTTTCTACCTCCTCTCTCTGCCTTCCTGGATGCTAGGGAGTTAGAGTCATTTGCTGAGGTATGAAAGAAGGCAATGCAACTTGACACCTGCTGGGAGTCACTGGAATAGCAAGCAGGAGGTGTGCCCTCCTTCCACTGAATCAGAAGTATTTGAATGCCAAATTTGTAAGAAAAACCAATCCTAAATGGATGTGCCACTTTGTATCCTCTCTGACTACCCAGCCTCAGGCTCTGTCTCACAAATGCCCTGGAAAGTACAGTATTCTATTATCTTAATTTCTTTCTGAGTTGGCTTGTATGGCCTTTTTCTTTAATGGTGGGTTAAGGGGAGAAGTTTCAAGAGGAAAGGGAAAGTTAAATAAGTAAATGTGGTACCAGCCTTAGACCAATGTTTAGGCCATACATGTTGGTAGATAGATTAAAAATACTCTGTATCTTCTTCACTACCAAACTATAATATAAGAAATACATGAGGTAGCCAGTGTAAATTCCAGGAGGACATAAAGTCTGTCATTGGGTAGGATTTAATAAATATTAATTGGCGATGTTGATCAGCCTACTGGTGATAGGCATGGGTATAAGCAAAGGCTCTGTAGGCCATCCGTGCTGTTACTGGGAGGCAAATATCAGGTGGAAGTTTCAGGTAGTGGGGAGCAGGAGGCGGAGGGAGATATTCCCTTTATATGACCCTTTAAAAACATTGAGGTCTTGGGGCACCTGGGTGGCTCAGTCTGTTAAGCATCCAACTCTTTATTTTGGCTCGGGTCCTGACCTCATGGTTTGTGAGTTGGAGCCCCGCATCAGGCTCTGCGCTGACACGCAGAACGTGCTTGGTATTCTCTCTCTCCCTGCCCCTCCCCTGCTCTCTTGCTCTCTCTCTCTCTCTCTCAAAATAAGTAAACATTGATGTCTTGGAGCGCCTGGATGGCTCATTTGGGTAAGCATCTGACTTTGGCTCAGGTCATGATCTTGCGGTTTGTGAGTTCAGGCCCTGCATCAGGCTCTGGGCTGACGGCTCAGAGCCTTGAGCCCATTTCAGATTCTGTGTCTCCCTCTCTCTCTGCCCCTCCCCTGCTCATGCTCTGTCTCTCTTGCAAAAATAAATAAACATTAAAAAAAAACAACAAAAAACATTGAAATCTTGGGATACCTGTCTGGCTCTGTCGGTAGAGTATTCAATTCTTGATCTCATGGTTGTGCATTTCAAGCCCCACGTAGGTTGTAGGGATAACTTTAAAAAAAATAAAATCTTTTTTTACAAAATTAAATAAATAACAATAAAAACATTGAAGTCTTTATTGCAGTAGGGTCATTTCAGGCCTTCATGTTGGTGAGACCAGAATTTATTATGTATGTGACGTCAGCTTAACGGTAGGATCATTTAAGAGCAATGGCAATAAATGTTTAAGGATTTCTAGCTTCCATTATCATTCCTGATTAATTTAAACCTGCATAATTTTATATCATAATTCCCCCCCACCCCACCCCTGCTGATTATGGATCAGTTTCATTGCCATCTAAAGAACTCTAAACCAATTCTTTTGGTTGGGAAAGGGGCTATCTCTCTCACTCCCCCCCCCCCCAAATACCTAGGCACAGCCCTAGGAGTGCTGGCTGTAACTCCTCTTTTCAGCAGTTATTTGACCCATCCCTGTTTTGATAGTACTCTTTGTTTTTCTAGGTTTGCTGTGGAATTTGTCATCTAATGACAAACTCAAGAATCTCATGATAACAGAAGCCTTGCTCATCCTGACTGAGAATATCATCATCCCCTTCTCTGGTTGGCCAGAAGGAGACTACCCCAAAGCAAACGGTTTGCTCGATTTTGATATATTTTACAACGTCACAGGATGCTTAAGGTAATGCCACTTGACAGATCTTTCCTCTGTGTACCTTATATACTACATCCAGATTTTCTAAAACTCTACCCCACTACCTAGAGGTCCTATAAGAATTATAAAGATCACTCTAAATATAACAAGCACAATATAGAGACAATGAGAGAGGTAAAGTAAGAACAGAATGTTGTTTCTAGGCATGTTTGATTCCAGAAGCTACCCACATTAGTTCACAAGAGCGAGGATGTCAGTTCCAATAAAACAGAGATCTAACCTGAACACCCAGAAGTCCATGCAGACTGGCCTTCCCTGTCTCCCAGGGTTTAAGGCAGTCTCCATGCTATTTTTAATTCATTAAAATCTAACTTAATGATGTGGTTAAAAAATAATTGTAAACCTAGTGTTTTTGTTATATTTTATTAAAGTATAATTGTATTTGTTTTAGATGTACAAAGTAATGATTAGATATTTGTATATTTTACAGACGGTCGCCAGAATAAGTCTGGTGTTCATCACCATACATAGTCACAAAATTCTTTTTCCTTGTGATGAGAACTTTTATGATTTTTTTCTCTTAGCAACTTTCAAATATGTAGTATTGTATTATTAACTATAGTTGCCATGTTGTATGTTACATCTCCAGGACTGACTGACTGACTTATTTATATGTTTGTTTATTTATTTATGGCATATGAAAATTTATTTCCATTATGGTTTTCTTTGGACTTACTTATTTTATAACTGGAAGTTTATAACTTTTCCAC